TTGAAAATACTAACCCATCAGCATAGGATAGGTTGAAAGAGAAGAATTAGCAGAAAAACACATTAGGAAATTTTTTTCAATTGTCTGGGTTCCTGTGACTAGAGAGCCCTGACCATTGTGGCTCAGTGGGTTGGGTATTGTCCCGTGCACCAGGAGGTTGTGGTTTGATTTCTGGTTAAGGGACATTCCCGGGTGGTAGGGGGCATGTAGGAAGCAGCCAATCGATGTTTCTCTCTCATGTCGATGTTTCTCTCTCTTTCCCTTTGCCTTCCTCTCTCTCTCTAAAAAAATAACAATCAGTGAAAACTTTGTTTTTAAGTATTGTTTTGGAGAGTAGGCCACTACCTGTTATTTGACAGCATTCTGACCTGCTTATGGAAAGAAAAGCAATAAAGCTTATAATTTTTGGACTTGATTAAAGAAAAAGTTCTTAGCAAATTGGTCTGATGTTCTAGTTTTGTTTAAAATGTCTCTACAGTGCTCGCTTCGGCAGCACATAGACTAAAATTGAAGCGATACAGAGATTAGCATGGCCGACAAGGACGACACGCAAATTCGTGAAGCGTTCCATATTTTTTAAAAAATGTCTCTACAAAAATGTCTTTGAAGACATTGGGGACTATTGAAGGGTTTGGAAGGTGAGTTCTGGTTTAGATTAGGTGGAACTTTCAAGTGTTAATTTTTTAACTGAAGCTACATTTGAAGGTTTTAATTTCTAAATTGCATAAATTGGTTCATGTTTTGCAGTGAAACATTTAATGTGTCCTCTCTTCTTGAACAGTATTTTGGTTGAGCTCCTTGAGATTAGGGGACCTGGCTAGGTACCAGCAAAAACTCAATCATGTTTTTGTTGAATTAAATTGTATTAGAGCAGCAAGAAGGGCACCATTTGAGAAGTTCTAAAATACTTTTTCCTGTTTTCTCATTATGAAAAATTTCAAATACACAGAAACTGTTGAAGGATAGTACAGTGATCACCATATACCCACCACCCAGATTCAACAGTTGTTTAAGTTTTACTTTTGATTTTTGTTCTGAACCATGTACTAGAAGTTGCAGAAATTATAACACTTCCTCATACTTGTGTGTGCATCTCCTAAAAATAAGATCTTTTCCTCTTTAACCACAGGATTTCTGAGTCGTTCTTGTAGAGATTAGGGTAATAGTGTACTATCTCTATCACCTCTCACCTGTGTGGCCTTGCACAAGTTATTTGATATTTCTGACCTCAGTTTCCTAAGCTGCAAGTACCTATCTCAGGAGGGATATTATAAAGGTTAAGTGTGTGAAATTCTTAGAACCATACCAGGCACAGTTTTCAGTTTATAAAGCATTTTCTCATATAAATTCTCAATGTGGTGAAGAACATCACACCCCCCATTGTTCCCAGAGTGGGAGACTTCTACCTCACCTTCCCCATATGTAGATGTCAACAAAACTCATAATTTCTACCTCCTAACGTCTCCCAATTCTGTCCTGTTCTTTCCATTGCTACTGCAACACTTCTTGTGTATCAACAATTTTTTAATCTGTCTTCATCTAGTTCCATTTCCCCAGACTCATCCCCACCTCCTCATCCTTTTCTTTCTTTCTTTTTTATTTTGAGAGAGAAAGAGAAGCTTCGATTTGTTGTTCCACTTATTATGCATTCGCTGGTTGATTCCTGTATGTGCTCTGACCGGGGTTTGAATCTGCAACCTTGGCGTATTGGGACGATGCTCTTGCCAGTTGAACTACCCAGCCAGGGCTCCTCATCCTTTTCCTTACTGCCAGAGTTTATGTTCTCAAATACAAATTTAACCATACTAACTCCCTTTAAAACTCGTTTCCCATCACCTACAGTGCAAAGTCCAAATCTCTTAACTCTAGCTTCTACGTACCTTCTGTCTCTGTAGCCTTATCTCTGATTATACACTTCCTCGCCTTCTCCCACCTGACTCTTAACAAACACATGTGCCCCCACAGTAGTGTGCCACACGTTGTTCTCTAAATATGTTCTGTTACATATCTCTGTGCTTTTGCTGATTGGCTTCCTCTGTTTGGAATGCTACCCCCACCTACCATCCTCTTTATGGCTGGCAGAACTTGACTTTTAAGACTAGGTGTAGGTATTTAACTCTTCAGTTGTTCCTTCTCTCTTGTCCCTACTCTACAATGTAGTCTTATAAGTAGTAGTAGTCTATAAGTAGTAGCATAATACAACATTTTCGGGCAGCCATTTATTTGCTTGTCTGTCTCAGTCTAGTAGATTAAAAAGTCCTTGAAGGCACACACTAGTTTTTATCTTTTTTTGGATCCCTAGTACCTAATACATTGCTTGTACCAGGCACAAAACAAATGTAGATATCATGTCCATGTTTTGTGGATGAAAAAAAATTGAGGTTGAGAGAATATGCATTATGTACCCAATGTAGCAGAACTAATGAATGAAGCATACAGATCTTTAAGGGCCCATTTCAGTACTGCTTTCATTAACTATACTACTAATAATTACAACCATTTGATGAGTGATTCTGTGCTTAGTCTATGGACTTAGAGCCCCCTGGAGGATCTTAGAGTTCCCACATGAAAGTCTACATTTATAGCGGTTCTCAACCTTCCTAATGCTGCGACCCTTTAATACAGTTCCTCATGTTGTGGTGACTCCCAACCATAAAATTAGTTTCATTGCTACTTCATAACTGTAATTTTGCTACTGTTATGAATCATAATGTAAATAACTGATATGCAGGATGTATTTAGGCGACCCCTGTGAAAGGGTCGTTTGACCCCCAAAGGGGTCATGACCCACAGGTTGAGAACCACTAGTCTATAAAGTCATATGCATTTTCTGTAGACTGAGTTAGTAAGGTTATATATATGTGTGTGTATGCATGTCACCAATTTTGGGAATGTACACAGATGTCCTTGTGACTAATAGTGAATTGTCTTGGTGAAGTAGTCATATTTATATCTTTTGAGAGGAAAGTAGTAGGGGGCTTTAACCATCTAGAAGAGTTGGAATAACATCTTTGCATAGTTTACTAGGGAATTGATAAGGTACAAGAAAGTATTTTTTGAAAGCAATTTAGTTCAGATTAGATGGTAATATCTGAAATTTTCCAAGTCATCAGTAGTTCATTAAAATAAAAGAAAGTTAAAAATTTTCTGAAGCCAAACTTAATTAAAAGTTGTTAAATCTATTTTTTTAAATAAGGTGGTTTTAAATATATTTTCAGCTAGAGCCATAATGTTTAAATTTTTTTGTCTTAGCACCAAAATATTTATTTTATATATATGGATACGTTTTCATTGGATCTCTAAACACATTGAAAGTTCTGTGGTCTAGGTTGTCTTCTCTTTTCAAATCTAAATTCACTACAAATTGTATTTTATCAATTCCAAATAGGTCCATTAAGGGCACTTAAGAATCTGATTGGCTGGGACCACTTTCCCCCAGCTTTATTGAGATATAATTGAAATATAATGTATATTTAAGGCACATAATGTGATACAAGTATGTATTGTAAAATGTTGACCATAATAAGGTTTAGTCAACACATCCTTCACCTCACATAATATCATTTTCTTGTTGTGTTGTTATGGTGAGAACATTAAAGCTTTATTCTCATAGCAACTTACGAGTATACAATCATAGTGCTTAATTCTTAATGAGAACTATTTTTCTAAGTTAATGACTGCCTGCTGTCTGGACACAGCGTTGTATTCTGCTCCCTGGGCCACAGGCACTTCTATTGTTGATATAAAGCATTTGTGGTCTGGCAGGCATTCTAGGTTTAAGGGCATAGCTTAAATAATAATGCTTTAAAGTATGTGTGCTATTTTAGCTACTAGGTAAACAAGAATTGTGTGATAGCATTCATTCCTTTGGCAAATATTTATTCAAATCCTGCTGTGAACCAGGCCCTCTCCTCAGCCCTGAAATTACAGCTGTGAGTGAACCAAACGGACAAGCCTTGGCTCAGGTGGCCCTTACCTTCTGGTGGGAGCCATGCTCTAAGCACGATGAGCATGCAAGTGGGTATCTGTGATAGAATTCTAGATGGGGCAAGTGCTTTAAGAAAAGGCCAGGAGAAGGAATAGGAAGTGGTATTTTCTAGTTTAGAAAGAGTTGTTTGAGAAGGCCTTCTTAAAGAGATATTGAGCAGAGACGCCTGCATGAAGTAAAGGCCTGATGCAGTAACCTTGCAAAGGTATCAGGAGGAATAGCCTTCCAGACAGAGGATCAGCAGATGCTGAGGCTTTGAGGACTTCCTAGGAGGGAATAGAGTGATCTGGTGGAGTTGGAAGGTACTACTCTACGCCAAGGAGAGAACAGACTCTAGTAAGAAAGGAAGCAGGAGATCAGTTAAGAAGTAGTGGTTATGGAGCTTCAGGTGAGAGATGATGATGGAGTGGTGAGAAGTAGTCAGATTTGAGATGTATTCTGAAAAGTCAACAGACTATGGTGATTGACTGCAGTGTGAAAGAGCAGTCAAGAAAATGCCAGTGTTAGTAAGTAGACACTGGACTTAAGGGATATACACAAGGTTTTTGCAGTGGCTATCTCTGAGCAGTGGTCTTGTTAGGAGCTTTGCTTTTTCCTTATCTGTATTTATCAATTTTTCTTTACTGAACCCATAATGCTTCTCTAATACAGTAAATATAGGGATTACTTTTAAATTAGAGTTAACCATGCTACTAAATATAGCTTAATTCTTTGTTTTAAGATTTTTTTTATTGATTTTTAGAGGAAGGGAGAGAGAGAGAGAGAAACACTGATGTAAGAGTGGAACATAGATCAGCTGCCTCCTGCACGCCCCCCTACTGGTGAGCGAGTCTGAAACCCAGGCATGTGCCCTGACCAGGAATCAAACCAGCAACCTTTCGGTGCACAGGATGATACTCAACCAAATGAGCCACACCAGCCAGAGCATGTAGCTTAATTCTTAATGTATTCTATCCCTTTTGATTTGGTAAACAGTTTTAGTAACATAACATTTTAAAATTTGTCTTTTCAGTCTTAGTGATCAGCCTTTGTACCTTTTCCACATTTGACGATGGTGAAGTTAGATATTCATACTCTGGCCCATCACCTCAAGCAGGAGCGCTTATATGTGAACTCTGAGAAACAGCTCATTCAGAGGCTCAATGCAGATGTACTTAAGACAGCTGAAAAGTTGTATCGTACAGCATGGATTGCTAAGCAACAGAGAATTAATTTGGATCGACTTATCATAACCAGGTAAATACAAGATTTTGAGGTCTTTTATAAACCATTATCGTTCTGTGTTAACTGCTAACTGTAAATAAATGAATCTATTTCCAACAAAGTGCTTGCTTTAAGATAGTTTAAGTTAACATTAAGATGAGTCTGCTTATTTTGTTTCTTTTAAGTCACTTAACACTGTTATGGAGAATTATAACTTAAGCATTAGTATTTTATGCCACACCAATTAATTTTGTATCTTTACACATATACATTTTATCAGTGTAGACAGTAAGTTATCTTTGTTCTACTTTCTTCTAACATAATTTAATATGTAAATTTCCATGTTTTGCTATTGTATATCTGCTTTTCAGTTTTAGAAACCTTGTTTTTCACTGTGTTAATACCTCATGTTCTGTTGTTCCAAGAAGCAGAAGAAGCCGTTTTTAGCTCTAAGAATAGTGGTACTGAAGCATAATGTTGAGGAAAGAAGCCAGACACAGAGGAGTACATACTCTGTATGATTCCATTTATGTGAAGTTCAGAATGAGGCAGGACTAATCTTTGATGAAAGAAATCAGAATAATGGTTCTTTCTTGGTACTTTTCATTGAGCCTGATTTAATATGAGGAATTTGTTTTTGTTTGTACTTTTTTTTCTCCTTTCTTTCTTTACACATTCAGATGCTCATGGTCTGAAAGATTTTAGCAATGAGTGATTTCGTTGGGACTGTAACCAATTCACATTCCATGTTTCATGTAGTATATGTGTGATATTATTATTGTTGTTAATTTTATTGTTTTGCTTGTCTGCTCATTTTTTAGTGCTGAAGCTTCCCCTGCTGAATGTTGCCAACATGCCAAGATTTTGGAAGATACACAGTTTGTTGATGGATATAAGCAATTGGGATTTCAGGAGACTGCTTATGGAGAATTCTTGAGTCGATTAAGGGAAAATCCTCGTCTTATTGCCTCCTCTCTGGTTGCTGGAGAGAAACTTAATCAGGAGAACACACAAAGTGTTATATACACAGTTTTTACCTCCCTCTATGGCAATTGCATTATGCAAGAAGATGAAAGCTACCTCCTTCAGGTTTTGAGATACTTGATTGAATTTGAACTTAAAGAAAGTGACAACCCCAGGCGACTTTTGAGGAGAGGAACTTGTGCCTTCAGCATCTTATTTAAACTTTTTTCTGAAGGACTGTTTTCTGCCAAACTTTTCCTCACAGCTACTTTACATGAGCCAATCATGCAACTGCTTGTGGAAGATGAAGATCATCTGGAAACAGATCCAAATAAACTAATTGAGAGATTCTCCCCATCTCAGCAGGAAAAACTCTTTGGAGAGAAAGGCTCAGATAGATTCAGGCAAAAGGTTCAAGAGATGGTGGATTCCAATGAGGCCAAACTAGTGACTTTGGTGAACAAATTTATTGGTTATCTCAAACAGAACACATACTGCTTTCCACATAGTTTGAGGTGGATCGTGTCACAGATGTACAAAACCCTCTCCTGTGTAGATAGACTGGAAGTTGGGGAGGTCAGGGCAATGTGCACTGATCTCCTGTTGGCCTGCTTCATTTGCCCTGCAGTTGTCAATCCAGAACAGTACGGAATAATTTCTGACGCTCCTATTAATGAGGTGGCAAGATTCAATCTGATGCAGGTATGCTTTTGTTATTATTTATATGGCATTCAATTTAAAATCAATTGATTAGGCAGTGGGGGTGGGAACAGAAAATGTGATGACAACTACCATTCATAGATTCCTGCCATTCTCTTTCTTTAGACTGTCCTCAGTATGTGCTTCTTAAGACATAAAAGCAGCCATATTGCGATTTAAAAATATTCTTGTCATAAAACATTTTGTGTTAGTTTTTAACTGGAGTCCTCGTACATGTGAATGATTAGATTTTCTCTTCCCATGATTTCAAAATCCCAAATGACTGAAAACCGAATCGTTTTACTTCATTTGGTAACAAAACCCAGCCTGAACTAACGGGATATTTATAATTGTTTGTTATTCCACTTAGTGCTGATGAATACCATGTTTTTCTGCTGAAATGTTAACATGTTTGATTATAGGATGCTACCCTAAGAACTGGACATGCCACATATATGTACTAACCAACCTTTCTAAAGTCCCCAAAGTTTGAAATATGAAACTCAGAAAGAGGATGTTTGGACCCGTATTAACACTTTTCCCCCCTAATTATTTGAAGTACTGAAATCATGTTATTATTTCTTAAGCAAATCTTTTAATCATGTCTTATCACCCAGAAATACTGTGAAGAAGAAAGACTGAGTTTATTTGGAATAGTATCTATCTTTGGATGAGTGGTGTTTTTTTAAAAATGATAAGTTTTTTTTATGATAGATATTGAGCAATTAACTATATAGAAATCCCTGAAATAAAGTTAAAAAAATTTGTTTTCATCTGTGAAATACTAAATTTATTCTTATGATAATGTAGTTGTAGTTTTATTTTTGCCACTCTAACAGAGATGGAATCACATATTTTCAAAATGAGTAATAATGGGGAGATTGTCCTAGATATTAAGAAGATGATGCTATATGATGTGAACTTTCAGCCAAGTGTCTTTAAAGAGAGTGGGTTAACAGTTCACTTTTGGCAGTAAGGAACTTGCTCTGTGAAGTTTACTTTCCAAACAGCATATGTTTTGTAGAAATTGTTTGCGTTTAAATTTAGAAAAGAAAAAACATCTACCTGGAGTACTTTATGAACTATGTAGAGTAAAGTACTTAACAGTAACTTGAAATAGTTTGAGTCAGCTTTTACAAATTAATTTTAAAGTTTCTGAGCATATGAAAAGTACACCATCAGAAACAAAGGTGTTGTGTTTTTATTTCCTAATGTCGATATAATATGTTAATGAGAAATTAAAGCAAAATCTTCTACTTATTCTGTATAACTCTAAATATAGTAAAACCTGGTGTTGACAGGATACAGAGGGGGGACCCTATTTTGTGTGTCTGGTCAGGTGTATGAGTATTATTATGCACTAGCATAGAGTGGAAGTGCTTTCATAGAGAGAGGACTTGGTATCTATAACCTGTGTCTCCCCACCACTGCTTGGGTTGCAGGTTGGCCGCCTGTTGCAGCAGTTAGCAATGACTGGCTCTGAAGAGGGGGATCCCCGGACAAAGGGCAGTCTTGGAAAATTTGACAAAGTAAGAGTGAATACTATGTCATGTGAAATACTGTTTATAGAAAATTCTGCCAAAGTATTAGCAAACCTAACTTTTCCCTTCCTTAAATCTCGTCCTTAGGTATTGTATAAATTAGTCTTTCATTGACTCTTGGTGTAGCTATAGTGCACATAATGTTGGATCAGCAGCTTAATGGCAAATGTCACTAAAGATGACTAATTCTCACTTATAGAAGTGTCGAGGAGATGCTATTGTAATGAGAACCAAGGAGCTATTAAGATTATTTTATTTTTTGCTCTAATCGGTTTGGCTCAGTGGATAGAGCGATGGCCTGCAGACTGAAAGATCTCGGGTTCGATTCCAGTCAAGGGTACATGCCCAGGTTTCGGGCTCGATTCCCAGTAGGGGATTTGCAGGAGGCAGCCAATCAGTAATTCTCTGTCATCATTGATGTTTCTCTCTCCATCTCTGAAATCAATAAAAAATAAAAAAATAAAAAAGATTATTTTATTTTAGGAAGTTTAATTTTTAAAAATTGTCACTAAATCAAATAATCAATAACTATATAATTTTAAGTGTATTTCATAAATTAGTATGTGTGGTATTGTTCAATTTAAATAAAATTTTAATTAATCATATTTGAGTAGGCTGCATTCAACCTATTATAAAATTCAAAAGTTATACAGTGAAATATCCCTTCCACCTCTGATTACTAGCCTTAATTTCCTCCCCAAAAGGTTATTTTTTTAATATATATATTTTATTGATTTTTTTTACAGAGAGGAAGGGAGAGGGATAAAGAGTTAGAAACATCGATGAGAGAGAAACACCGATCAGCTGCCTCCTGCACACCCCCCACTGGGGATGTGCCCGCAACCAAGGCACATGCCCTTGACCGGAATCGAACCCGGGACCCCTCAGTCCGCAGGCCGACACTCTATCCACTGAGCCAAACGAGTCAGGGCTCCCCAAAAGGTTATTGACATGTCTTTTGTGTATGCTTCAAGAGTTCTACATGTATGCCAGCAAATTCCTTCATATATTTCCCAATCACCCATCTTTTCCTTTCACAAATGGTTAGATAGTGTATAATCTTCTGTATCGTGTTTGTTTCTTGTACCAGAGTATCTTAGAGATTATTCTGTATCAATTCATAGAGAATTTAATTTTTTAAAGGTTAGGTTTAATATCATTTTTAAGAAGAAAAACTTTTTGCACCTTAATCGGATATTTTGTTCCCTTATCTTAAAGGGGAGATCTTTCACTGTGATCTTTTCCTGTTTTAACAGAGCTGTGTTGCTGCTTTCCTTGATGTTGTGATTGGGGGCCGTGCAGTGGAAACCCCTCCAATGTCCTCTGTTAATCTTCTGGAAGGATTGAGCAGAACTGTGGTTTATATAACCTACAGTCAGCTTATTACTCTGGTAATGGCTTTATTCTTTAATAGGATTTTCTCAGAAGTCATTTATCTAAGCATGGGCAGAGTCATAGATGAGTACATTGTGTCAGAAATATATATTGGGTATGAAAAATTGATTTCAGTAGCTAATGTCCTTTTATTTTTGCCAGGTGAATTTTATGAAGAGTGTGATGTCTGGAGACCAACTGAGAGAAGATAGAATGGCTCTTGACAATTTATTGGCTAACCTACCCCAGGCAAAGCCAGGGAAAAGCAGCAGTTTGGAAATGACTCCCTACAATACTCCTCAGTTGTCTCCAGCAACCACTCCAGCAAATAAAAAGAATCGATTGCCTATAGGTAAAGAGACTTTCTCATATTAGGCTTTGCCTTACATTTAATACTACTTTGTTAGCCTTTGTTATTGCTCAGTGTTTGGAAATACAGTTTTAAATAATTTGGAAACATTTTTCTCCATGTTTACTGGTAGTAATTCAGTTTTTTACAATTGCACTAGGTTAATTAAGGTTTAGCATTAGACTTTTGCTTTATCTAGATGTACTTTTTCATAATTAATTGAAATCATGCCACGTATGGTATGCTTTGTATTTTAGTGTCTTGTCTTGGAAAATTTTGAAAGTGTCAGTTGTTACAACCAGTCATTATTTGAATTATGTAGCCCCGTCCTTTCTACAAAGTTCTGAATAATATAATAAAATAATATTAGAAGTTTTTATCAGTAAAGTTGAAACTACATAGGTACTATTTTTTTCATTATTGTTATTAATAATCAGTCTTTGCCCTAGCTGGTTTGGCTCAGTGGATAGAGCATCGGCCTGCGGGTCCCAGATTCAATTCTGGTCAAGGGCACATGCCCTGGCTGTGGACTTGATCCCCAGTAGGGGGCGTGTAGGAGGCAACGGATCAATGATTCTCATTATTGATGTTTCTCTCTCTCTCTTCCTCTCCCCCTCCCCCTCTCCCTTCCTCTCTGAAATCAATAAAAATATATTTAAAAAGTAATAATAATCAGTCTTTTATCAGCTGAGCAATCTTTTTTAATAAAATAAAGCAAAAATCCTATTTTATTTAGTCATTCATTTATTTAAGAATTAGGCTTACATTTTATTAACTTAGTAAACATCTATTATCTATAGATATGCACCAAACATTTAATTGAGCATATATTATGTACCAGACACTGGGTAAGCACTTTATAAATGTGTTTCATTTAATCTACATGCAAAAAAATCCACTAAAAGAGTAGGTAATTATAATCACTGTCCTGCAGATAGGGCACTGTATTAGACACGGGATATAAAGACCTTAGTTCATGTCCGTACTTTAAGTTAGCTGCCCTAGTCTAGTTGGGGAAAACAAAAAGAGACCATTGCCCTTCAGTGTACTGTGTTTGATAGGGATGAGCACAGAGGATTACCCGACACCTAGAGAAGGTGGCCCTGGAGCAGGTGAAGCCTGCGCTTTCTCTCGAAGGACGAAAGGGTGTTCCACAAAGTAAACAAGGCAGGGAAAGAGTGTTTAGGGCAAGGGAATGCAGTAGTTTAGCACCATTTTTTTTCATGATAATGAGGAGCTCAGCTATAGTTACTATAGTTTACACATTTGGAAGAATGAGTCGATGTGTTAAGAACTATCAGTTTCGCCCTAACTGGTTTGGCTCAGTGGATAGAGCGAAGGGTCCCAGGTTCGATTCCAGTCAAGGGCATGTACCTTGGTTGCGGGCACATCCCCAGTAGCGGGTGTGCAGGAGGCAGCTGATCGATGTTTCTCTCTCATCGATGTTTCTAACTCTCTATCCCTCTCCCTTCCTCTCTGTAAAAAAATCAATTAAAAAAGAACTATCAGTTTCTTAAAATTAATCTACCTTACATTTAATATAATATGAAATAATATCATCAACAGGAATGTGACATATTCTTCAAGTGTTTGGCTTTCATCATTCCAAAATGTAAATTTTCAGAATTAAAAATAGGAAAAAAAGTTTGACACTCAATGATTTTTAATGTTATAGGCTGTTTTTACTATTTCAGCATGAAGAAATGAGTGATTTTTGGTATATTAGATATTTTTTCTCCATATTCACTGCTATACATTAGTTCTTCCACTTCATAACTTCCAGAAGTATTATTAAATATGGGTAGAATGGAAAGTAAATTTCAGTTTTTCCAGTAGTATTTTGTATAGTCATGTGACTTGGTCATTGAATTTATTTCATATTTTAAAAAATGTGTCCATTATTCAGAGGGTTGATTTTCTTTCTGTTTAATGCTTTCGCAACCCAGGACATCAGTTAGCAGCCATCACTGCCTGGGATTCCTCAGCCACCAATCTTACAGCTCATATTACTCTAGTAACCCCATTTGGTGGGTAATAGGCTGTTCTTACTCTTCTTGTGTAACTCTTATTTAAGAAATAATTTATAAAAGTGTGCTCCATGTGCATGTTGCTTTTGCTTTGTGTTACATGAATTTTGGTCACTTGCATTTTTATAAATTATGAGGGTTGTTACTTAAAATTCATGAAGTTCATGAAGCTGAATTTAAGTTCACAATTCAGTAGAAGATAGTGAGGTGAACCTGACTTTTGACGTGTGCCCTAAAATTTTGAAAGTAAGAGTGATTAATCAACACATCAACAGCATTGTGGAGAGAAGGTGATTGTCTATATTTCTGTCTTTAAGTAGGTCAGCTTTCACTCAAAGTGAAGTTGAAAGACTTGTTACTATAAAGTGCTTTGCTTTATGTCTGTACTTTTAATTATTTTGCACTGAAGTAGACTTTCTAGTTAGTCTTCTGGTTGCATTGAATTTTTATTGACCTCTGAAAGAAAATAGAAACTTATCACAGAAGACTAAAACTCACAGAGAAATTATTATCAACTACCCAAATATTTCTGAAGTTCTTGTAAGTTCTATAGGATGGATTATTTTAGGAAAAAGTATTAGGTAGGGGAAAACACCCCCAAATCATTAGATTCCGTATTAATTTAGAATGTTTCCAGTAAGCAGAAAGGAAACTTGTATTCAAACATAGAAGAATCGCTCCTTTATCTTTGGAAAAAGGTTAATACATTTCAGGAAAACAGTGTGTTTTCAAAAACGGATTCTGGTTTTTCAATAGTTACCTAATTAATTACTAATGTACATTACTTTATATGGCTATCAGATTTCTATATGAAGTTTTCTAATGCTTTTGAGTTATTAGTATGGGAGACCTGTGGCAATTAAATCATTTTATAGGAGAAATAATTGAAAGTGTCTTGAACAGATAAGAAAGAAGGTAGGTTATGCTGTTCTTGTCATCCCAAGTCTTAAATTGATGGGGACATGTTCACTGTTCTGCAGGTGTGGTCATCTGTGTGTCACTCCCTGTCAGGTGAACATGGGTCATTGTTTCTGGTGATCAGTTTTAAAGGAGAATAAGTATTAGTCATCAATAGAGTAACTGGGAAGATACAGGGTTTTTTTTCTTATTCATATTTTCACCATTCCTTTTGTGTGTATGCATGTGCAAATGTTCTACATTAATAAAAAATATTTTTGTATTTAGTGTGCCATTTTCTTCATTTTATCTTTTTCTCTAAAATGACTAATTTAACTTTTTTTATTAGCAACTCGGAGCAGAAGCCGCACCAATGTGCTAATGGACTTACATATGGACCATGAAGGATCATCTCAAGAAACCATCCCAGAGGTGCAGCCTGAGGAAGTGCTGGTCATTTCCTTAGGGACAGGTCCCCAGCTTACTCCAGGGATGATGTCAGAAAATGAGGTATGCATGTATTGTTACATTTGAATCATAGCCACCAATGTTTAGAAATGCGGATTCTGTTCTTCTAATTAATGGCCCCTTGCTTCTATCAATCACTATGCGTTGAATGAATATTTTTCATTATCGTCAGTGGGCCTACCAGGACGTACCATCTAGTGCTAAACTTCCTGTGCATAGTACTGGAGGCCCTGCACGTTGGTGCATTTATGGCACTGTAGTTGGTGGCCAGGCCACACCTAAAGGAAGTTTCCTAATAGTTGAAGAGCCAGGGAGCCAGGAAATTGTGGTATGGAAATTGAAGAGACTTTTCCAGTGACCTGTAGGAAGTGATTTATGTTTATTTTCTATCTAATGATATTCCAGTGGTATTCCTGCTTTAAAGAGCTGAACATTCTTTAGAAATACTTTCTTTCCTTTGGCCGGTTAGGAAGAAATGGAAGAGATAACTGTGGAAAAAAAACTAAAAGTGTAAAATATTTTGAAGAAATGGGATTGAGGGTATGGGAATCATTTTTAAGATGTTTGTAAACAAGAGCTTGGGACAGGGCCAAAGGGAAAGAAGAAATCTTGCCTCTCTAAAGGTAGAACCCCTCCTCATATATTGTGCCCCCCCCCCCCCCCAAAAAAAAGCAACGTATTACATTCAAAAGTGAGTGCTTACTATTCAAGAAAACTAGTCCTGGCCTGGGAATAAGGGACCAGTTACAGGGTTGTTAAAGTGATGATGGTCGTTGGCTATGTTTGGAATTGTGACATCACTCATAGGAAAGAGAACTGTCAACGTCCTAAACTCTGTCCCTATACACACACACACACACACACACACACACACACACACACACACAAAGAATGAGCTACAGAGACTGTCAGGATCAACATTTTAGGAAGCCTAGAATGTAATAAAAACATAACAACCATGGGAATGCTTAATAAGGAAAAAAATTAACAGCTGAATGTCACTCGGCGAGTTCTGTGCATTTACCTTACCATGTTACCTGTCCCCAAACCCCAGTTCAGTGGCAGCCTTGAAGACAGCAGTTCGTATTCCTACGCAGGGAAATGATCCCTTTGTTCAGTTAATTCATACCACTCTCTAGGCCTGTTCAAACTCTGGCACCCGTCGGGTGATGGAAGGGCAAAGTTTCAGTTCTTCTCACTGATACTTACACTTTTCTTCTAGCGGTACTTAAAGCTTGATCAGAACCTTGTAGATTGGTTTTAATTAAAAAATAATTTTAAGTTAAAAATAACTTAAATATGCATTTGCTGTAGTTTGTTTTCTTTCTGTTGTGACAAACGAATGGCATTTTATTTTTTAGGTCCTAAACATGCAACTTTCGGATGGAGGACAAGGAGATGTCCCTGTCGATGAAAACAAACTCCACGGTAAACCTGATAAAACCTTGCGCTTTTCCCTCTGCAGTGATAATCTGGAAGGAATATCTGAAGGTGAAGGGTTACTTCATTCAAGGAGTTGTGTGATTCAAGTAATGTTTTGTTTTGTGTTCTTTAAAGGAGCCTTATAAATTATAATTACACCATCTGTGCCCCTGACTGAGGAGACTAATGAAGTTTTCCTCTAATGATCTTGAACAGTTGGCTGTAAGATTCTTTCTTGAATAAAATTAAGATTGCAAGAAAAAAACGTTAGAAAAAGATTGCAAGAGACTGATGGTCATAAAAAATGGAGAAGGTCTGAGTCTTCACTGGGACTTGAATACCAAGTTTTGTTTCTCTAACGCTGATATGTACCAAAGCGAGTAGAGCTCCTTTAGAGGGATGCGATGCATGTCTAAATGGAAAAGAATGGACTCACTAGTGTTTCAGGATGTTGTGTGTACTTCTAATGTTCTGCATATTCACACACTCACACCTTTTATGAAGCAGTAAGATAAAATGAAAATAGGAATAAAAAAGAAATTTAAAGGCAAGATTAGGAAGTAAGACTATGTCATTCCATATGCTAGGATCAACTTTTTGTTTTTTTGTTAATCCTCACCTGAGGACATTTTTCCCCCCATTGATTTTTAGAGAGAGTGGAAGGGAGAGAGAGAGAGAGAGAGAGAGAGAAGCATCCATTAGTTGCCTCCTGAATGCACCCTGACCGGGAACCGGGGCTCGAGCCTGGATCAAGCCTGCAACCGAGGCGGTGCCCCTGACTGGAATCAAATCCGAGATCCTTCAGTCTGGGGGCCAACGCTCTAACCACTGAGAAAACCGGCCAGGGCAAGAGCAACTTTTTTAATGAATAAGTTCAGCTTTACTAACATTTTAAAATAAACATAAAATGTAGTAACTTTTTCTTTCCTCTAATTTTTCAAAGCATAAGTAACAGTTTCATTCTAGAAAATGCTGAAAAGAAATGGAATCATTGTAATCTCATCATTCTGTTAATAACAATTAACATTTTGGTTCATTTGTAGCAAGATTAAGATTGTGCTGTCTTGTAACCTTTTTTTTGTTTAACAATATAACAGTAGCATTTCCCTTGATGATTTAACATTCTTAAATAACGTGGTGTTTAATGGCTGTTTTCTTTCATAGTTTATTTAAACATTCTTCTATGATTAAAGATGTAGATTGCTTCTGCTTTCCACTTACAAGAAGCCCTGAAATAAGCAACCTTAGATGAGTTTTTGAACTGTTCCTTAGGATAATTCTCTAGAGGCAGAATTACTGGCCTAAAGAGCATACATATTTTTAAGGTATAAAAGCAGAATTAAAAGCACTTTAGTCTTTATCTTTAGTGCCTTATCAAGGCATGAAAAATTGCATGATGGCTCACTTACAGTAGAAACATTTCTCTAGGTCCTTCCAATCGCTCCAATTCAGTGTCCTCTCTTGACCTGGAAGGAGAGTCTGTGTCGGAACTGGGAGCAGGACCTTCGGGGAGTAACGGGGCTGACGCTCTGCAGCTACTGGAGCATGAGCAAGGTAAGCTGGAGTGGACACAGCCGCTCGAGGGGCAAGAACTTCCCTGGCTGCCAGGTGAATGATGAGCTGCCATGTAAGTTGGCTGTTGCAGTAAGAATACATTTGATTATATAATGAGCATTAAACTTGGACTTACTCATAGTTCCTTCAGTTCTTAAAGATGTGGTTAGTTGGTAAGTGAATTGTTTAGACTTGAATTACATAGAATAAATAAAATGAATTTCTTGAATTCTGTAATATTAAAATTTTCAGATACAAAGATACTGGTAAAACCTGAGGTCTCAAGTATCTGGAATAGGGAGAGAATGGTACACAAATGATTAGAAGTACCATAAGAGTTGCTGTGGCCATTCTGAGTGCGAGATACAGCGGTTGAAAGTGCAGGAAAAGCTTATTGGAAGAAAATATTAGCCTTAAAGCCTGGCTGGCATTGCACGGGCAGAAGCTGGAGATCAGGCATTCTAGGTGAAGGCATGGTATAAGCAAGTCAGAGAGGTGGCAAACCAGGTACTTATCCAGGAACTCCCAAGGAGGGGAATAGTATGAGGGAAGGATTGAAGAACAGCTGGGTCCCTGTTGTGCTTTAGGAAGGTTAATTTGAAAAGGGCCTTTGGATTTATTTAAAGATCCCTTCTGTCCTTCCGGGATGCCCTCAACTGGGTTCGAGACTGATTCTTAGACTTTAGTGTGTATAAAAATTACCTGGGGCGTTTTTTAAAAAGCCTACATCTATGGGGGAATAATTCAGTGTTTTTTGGTACTATGTACCCCGTGTTAATTATAAAATATGTAAAATGAAGTTCGAAGACATAAAGTTCTTCAAATTTGATTAAGAAATCATAGCTGTGCTACCATTTTTTAAGTGCTTAATTTTGTTTCTGATAGCCACAACACAGGATAATCTCGATGATAAGCTGAGGAAGTTTGAAATCCGTGACATGATGGGACTGACGGATGATAGGGACATATCAGAAACAGTGAGTGAGACCTGGAGCACAGATGTCTTGGGAAGTGATTTTGACCCTAACATTGACGAAGATCGTTTGCAAGAAATTGCAGGTAATTGCTATTTAATGTCTCTGGAATATTGCTTATTCCATGTCCACCAGCCTTCATGGGAGGGAACTTCAGTGCTCTGACAAATGTGGTGTGTGTGTTAGTCCTAACTGGGAAACTGAGACAGCTGCATATAGCCAGGCATTCGTGTATTTTTTCTTTACTTAAATATAGGTATGTTTTTTCTGTCTACATTTAACTTCACCCCCAACCCCAAAAGAGAAAAACCAGTCTTTTGAATTAGCTTCTCGTCTAGTCTTGTTGTAGGGCGTAGTATATGTTCTTAGTCTATAATTAGGATGTTCTTTAGAGACAAAACACCTACCTTAAAATGAAAATTCTGACAGATTATAGCCATAAAATCTTTCGGAATAATATGATACTGAGAGTCTAAAAATTGAGTTTACTTCTGGAAGTATTAATTCAGTTCCAAAAAGTAACTAGTTTTTAAAAGAATATATTTTTATTGATTTCAGAGAAGAAGGGAGAGGGAGAGAAAGAAATATCAATGATGAGAGAGAATCATTGATTGGCTGCCTCCCGCACGCCCCCTGCTGGGGATTGAGCCCGCAACCTGGGCGAGCATTTCAAACCGGTGAGGGTGGAAAAGTAACTAGTTTTGTCTTTTTCTTTTTTTACATCAAGTTTATTGATGCACAGTTTACAAACATTAAAATTCACCCTTCTTTGAGTTCTGAAAGATACCTTCTTCATTTTTTAAAAAATCATGGAACATTTCAAACAAGTACAAGAGAGAATAGTGTAATAAACTTTGTGTTCCCATCACTCAGCTCTGACAGTTACTCATACACATGCCTAGTTTGTTTCATCTCTTCTCCCACCCACTGCCCTTTATCCCCTCCCCAATTATGTTCAGATATTTATAATTATGTCATGGGGGTAGGGGCAGGGTGGAAGGGGTCAATGGGGGGGAAAGGGAACATTTATAATACTTTCAACAATAAAGATAAATTTTAAAAAATTATCTGCCAGCCAGGCCAGAACTTGAGTATTTTTAACACAGTTGTACAGTAATGTTTAATCCTGTATGTATTTTTAAGTAGTGTAAATAGATTTCTTAATTGGTTTCTATATTACTTTGTTCCAGATGCTAAGTATTTAGTATTTTTTCTGGCAGTAAGCTGTATTTCAGCAATAAGCTGCATTTGCAGTTAAACAAGTACTACAGAGGTGGTGTGTTTTCCTGCAAATACATTTTATTGCTCTGAATATGTGGCTAATGTGCCAGAAGAGAACATATTTCGGCCAGTGTAACTCGATTTGGTTAAATGTCTGAGTGGTTTTAATCCTTGTAGGACTATAAATTTGAGAGAGTTATTAGGGACACACACAAAATCTGCTGAAAAACCAAGGTGAAAGCCAGTTGGAATGACTTGATCCAACAATGTGTTTTCTCTACGGAGAGTTCAAGGTGCACAGGAGGCAGTGGGTGAAAAAGAGCTCGTGTCACTGTGGCCACAGGGAAATGTGCGTGTTTGTGGTGTTATTGATTGAAATTGCTCTGACCTTGGCTCCTTTCTGTGGCTGGAGTAGAGAGGTTCTGTGAGCGTTAGTGTTTGGCTTTTCTCCTTATCGATGCGCTCTCCATCAGGACCTTTGTTAACCCTTTGCTCCCCACTGGTTATACAGGTGCAGCAGCAGAGAACATGTTAGGCAGTTTACTGTGCCTGCCAGGGTCAGGGTCAGTGCTTCTTGACCCCTGCACTGGTTCTACCATATCAGAGACAACAAGCGAAGCTTGGAGTGTAGAGGTTTTGCCAAGTGACTCAGGTTAGTATGCTGTCATTTGCATTTTGATTTGCACAGACGTTTAAATGTAAGGTATTCTAATTTCTATATGATGGACATTTTGTCAGATATACCTTTGACAAGTATGAGGCAATCCAATTGCTAAGAATGTCACATGGAAAATTAGCGTAAGGCATTTTCTTTCATCAAGAAAAAATGCAGTTTTGAATGGCATGGGCTAAGATGGCAGGTGCTGTCTGACTGTTCAGTTCTTTCGGAAGCAACTGTTAGTAACTCATCAGGGTTCTGTGTGGATTGAGTCCAGTCTCTCCCATGAACTCATCACAAATAGGAGCCCTGAGTGGTTGGATACCTGGTAAGCATGTTTAGATTTACATGGGGAGAACTGACCCTTTAAAGATATCGAATATATTTTTGAAATGTGCTGAAATTCAGACTCTGGAGTACTGCAAATTATTTTGTGCACAATTATTATAAATGTATATGAAGTGTTTTGTACTTTGTTTTTTCTTATGTATTGCATTTCTACTTTCCCTCCTGATTATGAAGATAAATCTTTGCCTTCAACTAAATGTCAACTACCAGAATGCAAATATAAATAACTATGTCTGAATTACATTCTGTCTGATCTGCTTGGCTCAAGAATAATAAAGTGATCCTATATATGTTGAATAACGTTAACATATTCAGACATGCTAAACTTACATAAGGAGACAGCAGGATTGGCTCACTACCTGTTGAGCATCCATAGGAGTTGTTTTTTAGAAAGTGGTTGATTTAATGCTAGGTTATTTCATATTCTCTTGTTTAGTTGACTTGCTAACCAAGAACACACACTGTGAGATTAGTGACCTGGAAGAAGTTTTCATTTTTGCACAACTAACTGGCCTAGATTGGGATGAAAATAACAACCTTGACTTTCTTAACACTTGATCTTACTAACTTTGCTAACTGGTCCAGACTCAGAAATCTATTTACACTGATTTCATTCATACCCTGGTAGCTTTCATCATCTGGGTCACAAGCTAAAACTGGCATGCTAACAATCACTGATGTGACACCTCACGTCTTCTGTTTAGAGGCCCCCGATCTAAAGCAGGAGGAGCGTCTGCAGGAATTGGAGAGCTGTTCGGGACTGGGTAGCACATCTGATGATACGGATGTCAGGGAGGTCAGTTCCCGCCCCAGCACACCAGGCCTCAGTGTTGTGTCGGGTATGTCTGTCTTGTTTTAAGGAATAAGGATTTCAAGGTGTGTTCCCACATTTCCATTTGTAAAGTTGATAGCAAAGAGATATGTTTTATTTAAGAGCTGAGTAATTTTCAGGAAACAAAATTATTTCTATGGACCCTTAAATCTGAGAGTTTAATGTGTAGCTTTAGAGAGCCTGTTGAAGTAACTGGCAAACAGTGTGGATGTGTTCCCTCTATAGCTCTCTCTGTTCTTGGTAGCTCCGTTACTGTGTTTAGATAGCATGTGATAATTCTGGTTATGTTGCACAAGTCCAGGCAAATGTATTTAAGCAATAACTCACATGTATAGAACTAGGGCACAAAAATTTGAGAATATTTACATTTCTCCAAATCTCATATACTTTTTGTGTGGTTATTTTATTCTTCTTGCTGTTTATTTTTTGCTTTCTTTTTTAAAGGCATAAGTGCAACCTCTGAGGATATTCCCAATAAGATTGAAGACCTGAGATCTGAGTGCAGCTCTGACTTTGGGGGTAAAGATTCTGTCACTAGTCCAGACATGGATGAAGTAACTCATGGTAAGAAGGGAAAATGAGATGACTTTTTAAACAGTCACATTCATGGTGAAACTGGCGATCTTACACATTGCTGCTGATGATATCAGTTGTTATAGCACTTTGGGGCATAATTTGGTGATACGTATGTAAGACCTTAAAAGTTCACATACCAGATTTGGTCCACTTTAGGAATCAGTCATAAGGAAATAGTTCCATGTATGGAAAATGTCTTATGCACAGAGATGTTCTTCATAACATTAATATTTGCAAATAATTTAGAAACAACCTAATCATTAAAAATGAGAATGGCTAAATGAATTTTGATATAACCACTTATTAGAATTTATGTAGTTATTTTTTATTTTTATTTTTTAAATATATTTTTATTGATTTCAGAAAGGGAGAGGGGGAGAGAGATATAAAAATCAGTGATGAGAGAGAATCATTGATCGGCTGCCTCCTGCACACCCCACATTGGGGATTGAGCCGGAAACCCAGGCATGTACCCTGACCGGGAATCGAATCATGACCTCCTGGTTTATAGGTCAACGCTCAACCACTGAGCCATCCAGTCAGGCAGTAGTATTCATATTAATATGAGTTATTTTATAAATTGTCATTTGCTGAGAGCAGTATTAGAATTTTAAATTTTCCAGCTTTTTATTTATTCTTCTGTAGGTAGTGTTGCCCCTCTTTTTATAGGCAGAAGCTGAACCTCAGGGAAGTTGTGACATTCTGAAGATTTACATCTGCCTCTGTGATCTTTGCATTAACTATGGGATATAATTTGGCCATCAAAAGTAGCAGGCAGATAGACCACTTAAATGTAATTAAAATCCATATATGTACCAAGAAACCAGAAACACCAATCAGAAAGGATATATGCATCCCTATGTTCATAGCAGCCCAATTTACCATAGCTAAGATTTGGAAACAGCCTACATGCCCATCAGCAGATGAATGGATTAGAAAACTGTGGTACATCTACACGATGGAATACTATGCTGCTGTAAAAAAGAAGGAATTCTTACCATTTGCAACAGCATGGATGGAACTGGAGAGCATTATGCTAAGTGAAATAAGCCAGTCAATGAAAGAAAAATACCACATGATCTCACTCATTTATATGGATAATAAAGACCATTATAAACTGATGAACAAAAATAGATACAGAGGCAGAGCAGCATCGAACAGACTGTCAAACTACAGGGGGAAGGCCGGGGAGGGTGGGGGTGGGGAGTAAGAGATCAACTGAAGGACTTGTATGCATGCATATAAGCATAACTAATGGACACAAGACACTGGGGGGTAGGGGAGGCTGGGGGAAGGTCAAGGGAAAAAATAAAAAAGGAGACATATGTAATACTCTTTGTAATACTTTAAGCAATAAAACAAAATTTAAAAAAAATCCATATATGTAGAAAAACATAAAATGAATTTGGAGTAATCAGAATTTGATCTTTATTAGATTCTTTTTTTTCCCCTTATATGTCACTCAAGCTCTTATTGATGAAAAAAGTTTGAAAAGTGTGGAAACTGTCAGAACCATTTTCACTGTTGAAACTCTCATTGAGTCCTGAGTTCTGACTTGGTCTGTTTTGTCTGTTTTAGGCGCCCACCACCTGACCTCTCCCCCTTCTCAATCAGAGTCTCTGCTCGCCATGTTTGACCCACTGTCTTCACATGAAGGTAAACTAGTCAAGTGAACTATTTAAAAATTGAGATATAGCCGAAACCGGTTTGGCTCAGTGGATAGAGCGTCGGCCTGCGGACTGAAAGGTCCCAGGTTCGATTCCGGTCAAGGGCATGTACCTGGGTTGCGGGCACCTCCCCAGTGGGAGATGTGCAGGAGGCAGCTGATCGATGTTTCTCTCTCATCGATGTTTCTAACTCTCTATCTCTCTCCCTTCCTCTCTGTAAAAAAATCAATAAAATATATTTTAAAAAAAAATTGAGATATAATTGACATATAGTATTATATTCGTTTCAAGGGTACAACATAATGATTCAATATTTGTATATATTGTGAAATGGTCATCAAGTGAGCTTTTTGACTCTTGTCTTATCAAAGTCAGAAGTATGCAACCAAAGCCCATTGTTAATAATGCCTTGGTTAGAGCAGTTGTGTTTCAGGTGCAAACTTTTCCCCCTGTGTTCCAGGGGCTTCTGCTGTGGTGAGGCCAAAAGTGCACTATGCCAGGCCTTCGCATCCACCACCAGACCCTCCGATCCTGGAAGGAGCTGTGGGAGGAAATGAGGCCAGGCTGCCAAACTTTGGTTCCCATGGTTTAACTCCAGCCGAAATGGAGGCATTCAAGCAGCGGCATTCTTACCCTGAGAGATTAGTTCGCAGCAGGAGCTCTGACATAGTATCTTCCGCCCGGAGACCCATGAGTGACCCCAGCTGGAACCGCCGCCCAGGGAATGAAGAGCGAGAGCTCCCTCCAGCCGCAGCCATTGGTGCTACCTCTTTGGTGGCTGCACCTCATTCGTCCTCTTCATCCCCGAGTAAGGACTCCTCAAGAGGAGAGGTATGGGACACAGGTCACGGAGAATTTGCTGGTGTGGTCAGCTTTAATGTCTGTCTGCCTAATTCTCTTAATATCTGAAATTATATACATCTAGGGTTAAGAATGGACAGTAGTCATCATTAAAGATGATTTGTCTAGTATATCCACAACCTAATCCATAGGAAACCTTTAGTACTTTGTTTTTGTAGTGTTGCATTTTTATGATGCTTTTAACTTTTTCCAAATAATTTTATATCAAATTTAATTTAAACCTCCAATCTTCCGAGATGGTTAGCTATTATTTTTTTCAATGAGGTATTATTTTTTATTTTGTTCTTCATCAAATTTTTAATTTACTTACTTATTAATTATACTGATGGTCCCATAGTTTTCTATTTTACTCAATGGGTTTGTTACTGTCATTATTTTTGTCCCCGATTTGTTCAGTGGGAGCCCCTTCAAGCTCTCAGAGGTTCTTTTGATATGCTGCCATCATTCTTTGAGTATTTCTTTCCTTTTGGCACAAAACGTTATCAGCTTATATTGTACTGTGTCTGTCCTAGTCCTGGACTAGCCGTTTCTCCAAGAAACCCTTGTTCCTTTTAGTAGAAAATGGTATTTAAAAACCAAGATCTGGATACTAGGTGTGCTCTTTGCTGTAGGAGTGTTGCTACTCCCAGGACCTCACAGTAGACAAAACCATGGGAGAGAGTGTGTGTGAATATACATGTGCATATACACATTAACATGTGTATCTTTCTCTTTATATGTAGAGAACCATGAACATACACCTATATATTTCATTCTACTCTAAAAACAACAGTTTATTTCATCTTTCTCCCTTCCCATATTTGTAACTCCCTTCTGTGATAGAAACCCGTTTTCATAATTCTTCATGCATATACTTACTTGATCAGTCCTCATGTATGTAATCAATATGCCATCCCCGATGCTAAACCATTCCCCACGGATGCCCTCATCTCTCTCCTTGGGTTCTGACACCCCATCTACAAGGATGCCCTTAGAGAAAATATTTTTAGTTCCAGTTTTGTCAGTGAATAAACAGATATTAAATGACTTGTTTAAGGTACATGATGGGCTACTGATATGTGGTCTTAATGATAACATAACTGATGATCAAAACATGAACTTTGAAGTTGGTCAGAATCTAGGCTTGAGTCCCAGCTGTGCCACACATAGGCTATATCAATTTGGGGAAGATGAGTGATAACCTTTTTTAGCCTCATATTTCTCATCTACAGAAAGGGCTTAATAATAGTACTTATATCCTAAGGCTATTGTGAGGTTTAAATGAGATAACATATATCCTTACACTCAGTGTTTGGCACACAGCACAGACTGGGTTTTATTGTTAATACTACTGCTACCATCTCTACTACCCTCCTAGACTTTATTTGCATTGCACTTACTCTTAAGATTGTCTTAAGTGCCTCCTCTATGCAAGGCTCCATTATGGCTCTCAGTTTACTCACTGATGAGATAGTGCCTACCCTCAAGCAGATCCTTGTCTGGCTTAAAAGATACACTTCCATGTTCCCGAAGCTTCCTCTACAGCAATAAGAACAGTTTTTCTTTTAAGACAAACCTGAGGGGTATTTGTATTTTACAGACTAACTGAAATCCTTTTCATAGTAATTTGCCTGCTGCCCAACTCCAAATAAAGCATCAAACTTTTCCTACAGACTGAAGAACGCAAAGATAGCGATGATGAGAAATCAGACAGGAACAGACCTTGGTGGAGAAAACGTTTTGTTTCTGCCATGCCTAAAGGTAATTTTACAACATATTAGAATGCCATATTAGCAACCAGAAGCAAAGCCCTGAAATCTCTTTCCGAGCCCGCATCTCAGCTCCTCTCTCCCTGAGGTTTGCTGGGCTTGTTTCCAGCTGTTTTTGCGCAGGTGGATGCTAAGGCAGAGTTTTAGCTTATTCTTTGCAGGAAGTGGTAGTGGTTTCATAAATGGAAGTCATGCAAGCGGTGGTTTAAATATCATGTACCCTGATGTTAGACACGTAGGACTTTTGACATATGTATTGCCAGTAATTATTGCAGGAAAAAAGGGATGTTCTCAGTAATTAAACTGAAAATTTGAAATTCATCCTTTATATTCCTGGAATAAACTTAAGTTTTTAATGTTTATGTGCTTTGAGATTGTTTATACCCTGAATATTAGTGAGTGTTTATTTTGGAAGGCAGTTGTATAAAATTGTTCGCTTCTTTTGTGAATAGCCTGGCATCATACTAGTAGACATTGAGATTTGAGTTTGCAAAAGCATCTCTTCCTGAAAGGAGAGATCATCCAGGATTGCAGTTAGGGACTTCTTCCGATCTCAGCCCTGGGGCGCTCAGGAGCCGAGGGGCCGCCTTCACGCCGTACTCCAGCCACTTGAGGACGAGGAGAGCATGCCTCAGAGTTTTGAATGTGTTGTTTCTGAGCGGAGGTTAAGAGGCAGTGGTTTTGATTTAGTCCCAATAGATTCCCGTTAAATCATTCTTCCTGTGGCCAACGACTCTGAACGCATCTTTAAGAATCTTCAATGCTATTTTAAGAACGATTATCAATTGACACTTGGGGTTTCTTAGCTTTTAAACTTTTCACCTTCCTTTCACTTAGAAATGTTGGCACACCAGTTAACTCCAGAATGACTGCTGTCTGCCGAGTAGTGCAGTATGTTGTATGTCACACTACTGACTTTATTTAATTTCCAGCTCCCATACCATTTAGAAAGAAAGAAAAACAAGAAAAAGACAAAGATGAGCTGGGGCCTGACAGATTCTCAACACTCACAGGTTTGTAGACCCATGGACTTCCTGGCTCCTTCATTCCCAGAGCACATATTTCATAACACTTTTTCTTGGGTGCCATAAGCGTTGCCTTTTTAGAAGAGTGTGTCTGTGTGTGTACAGTGGGGAGTATGTTCTTCATAGCTCTGTGGTTTCCAGTTGGCGGCCACAGTGAATCCGTGTGCTCTTCCTGTAGACCGCCACCACCATCATCATCCTCATTATCATAACTTCCATTTATGGTGAGGCCCCTGGTCCTGGGCCTCTACACACCCCACAATCTGACATCTGAGTGGGATGATGCCACGCAGTGCCTTTTAGGAAAGTGGTGATGGTTTTAGCTCGGTGCATGCCATCTCTTCGGATCATTGATTGAATAATTTTCGCTAACGTTGATCATGGAACTCTAAATTTATTTTTGTCTGTAGCTCTTGATTATTCAGGATCATAGTGAAATTCTGTTTTACCTAATCATTTCCTTTTTTCATGATAAGGTGTTTGTTCAAAGAATAAAATAAATTTATAAACTTTACCGATTTTTACAGCTTGAATCAGTTTACCATTGCTCTCTAACCCAAGGGAAATACAACTAGGGGTTGGGTTCTTACCTTATTCAGCATTTGTATTTTTGCAGCTTGCTGTTGGCACATTATGATTGTGCACCCTGAAAGGAAAGATTGTGAAAAGTAGTGTTAAGGACTCAGCCTTGAATTTGATAGCTGTGAACTGTTTCCAATGACTATAAATTAACTACAGGGAAATTCATTTCTCACCTCGTTTTTTCTTATCTTGATTTGAAATTACATTCTAAGTTAAAATGAAGAGCTTTATTTAAAAATGGGATAGGTTTCAAAGAACATCCTCCTCAGAGCTGCTCAGCATAGTACAGGTAGACTCTCATTGTAATGCATGGCATTCTGATGTCTACCTCTGTTAAATTTAGATGTAGCTCCTTGGCCTAGCACACGTCCCTGCTTTGATGCATGACTTTCCTGGATAAAGGGTTTTGAACAGCAGGCGCTGTGCTTCCAGGCCACCGTCCCTGCCGAGAGCAGCCAAGCCCCTCTTGTTCAGTCAGCCAATACCGTTGAACATCTGACTCATGCCAGACACTGTGCTAAGTGGTGTGGGGAGTAAGTCATTTCACACCGGACCCCTGTTCTTCAGGAGCCTACAGTCTGACTGAGACACGTTGGAAAAGCTGCTTTCTGGCAAGATATTTGTTTTTCTTTACCATTTTCCTAGTGTTAGGACACTACCAATGTTTGCAGAGTAGGATCTCTTCATGAAATCTCATGTTTTTACAATGTTGAATTGATAATTTTGGAGAAGTTATAAATTGTTTTTTACTTGACTTTGGGCAATATAGTATTTTTCTTGGTTCTTAAACTGGAAGCTAGGTAGAGTACAGTAATTTTTTTAAGTAAAGTATTTCATTTGCTTTGTGTTCAATTCAAGCCATTTAACTTCTCTACTGGTGCAAAAACTTCTACCCAATCCTAACTAATGACCCATTGAAAATTATTATTAAATCCATTTTAAAATGCTATGAAAGGAAATTTCTTAACAGTCTGCTCATAATACCACCATCCTAACTATTCTTGTTTTTTTTCCATGTTCTCTCCCAATCTTTTTGTGTTTGTACATGGCTTTTCATGATTTAATCAGATTATGTATGTAACTGTATTCTTTTAACACATGTTATTTCATAAGCCCTCTCCCAGTTTCTACTAAACTGATTGTTTTTAGTAGTTTTTATTGACTCTAAGATAATCTATCATCTGATTTTACTGCAGTGTGAACATTCTCTTGCTTTTGGATATTTAAATTGTACCCGACTTTTACTATGAAAATACTGCTCACAGCTTCATATATGTAGCATTTTTTGTTTGTTTTCATTATTTTCTTAGGATAAAAATTTTAAGAATGGCATTATAGAAATAAAGTCAATAGGCAACATTATGGCTTCACTATAGTTAGCCAAATTCTGTTGTCCCTTTTTCAAAAGAGTCTCAACAGCACTGAAAACCAATAGCAAAAAGTACTCCCCCTCCACAAAATGATTTTGTAACGATAAAGATTTTTCAGTTTACATTTTGAAGATCAGATTATGACCCTGATCTGGCATCCAAATGTCATTATAGCAGAAAGATTACATTACTTTGGAAATCCTTTACAGTTTATTACAATTTTACGGAGACAGAAATACAAAATATTTTCTATGGAAAAAAAAAAGAAGAGCCTATGAGCATAAGTACTTAACCTCTCTATACCTCGATTTCCTCTTCTATAAAACGGGGTGATAGTAGTACCTCCCTATGGGGTTATTGTGATGATTGATTGAGATTGCTCATATAAGGTGCTTAGCACAGTGCCTGGCATGTGGTCAGTGCTCAATAAATGGTAGCTGCTGTTAACACACACACATAGAAATTCTAGTGATTTTTATGTGATTTTAGACTTTTTTAAAAATGGGATTCTACCAGAATGTGGACATTTATGGTAGCCACCTGGTTGGCCTAGATCTATCGCAGGAGTTTACATTTCACTCTGGAACTTTCTGTGTCCCATAGATCTGTAGCAGTTCTTTGATCACTGTTAATTACGTTGACTACAGGAAAACATTGCGATGTGCTGATTTTGCCGACAGGATGGCAGTCCTGTCAGTAAACAGTGCTGTGCTGTGATTGTGATCAGCTTTTTCTCTGTGCACCCAGGTACAATTCCAGCACTCCCCAGCAATGTCTAGGTTCTCTGGGAGTGCCTCTGACTCCATTGCATGCACAAAAGTGCTCTGTTCCGGCAGCTGCACTGTCATGGTGAGATCCAGTGAGATAGCATATGAAAATCTGAAGTTTTCAAATCTGGTGTAGAGAGAGAAATCCAGGAAGACTGGAGGAAGGCAACTTTTATTATTATTTAAAAGGCTTTAATTCTCAGTTTGAATACTTCTTTTTTGTTCCTTCAGCATGGAGATGTCTGAGTAAATGAAGTCTGCATATAAAATTGCATTGTGGGAAGTTCTGTTAGCATGAGTTGCTAATACCAGTGGTTTGAGTGTAAGCACTTTAGAAACCCATCATCCATTCAGTCCGCACTGAACTTTTTGACACTGTCATGTGGAATTCTGGCGATGATGAGAAAGTGGATCTAATTCTCCCAAATCCGTGCTTTGGCAAGGCTCTCAGACCCAGAAATGGGAGGAGTAGGCAGTTGCATGGTGCCTCTTAACACTGAGATATGTGCTCTTTTTAAGTCTTACCTCCTAATCGGCCTTTGGGATTATGCTCCTGGTGTCGTACTAACATCAGAGTTGGTACAAACCGAAGGGAGCTAATTCTCTCACTCTCCTTTCCCTGCAGATGATCCCAGCCCTAGACTCAGTGCACAAGCTCAGGCCGCTGAGGACATTCTGGACAAATACAGGAACGCCATTAAGCGAACCAGCCCCAGTGAAGGAGCAATGGCCAACTATGACAATGCAGGTGATAACCGTGGTAAAGATTTGAATAGTAACCTTCGTATCACAGTGATAAAGATGATCTGAATTAATAGTGCTACTTTTGAATAGCTGTCTGAAAAATATGATGTAATTCTCAAAATAAATGGAGAGGAAACAGAAGTATATAAAGCATAACTTCTACACAGCATGTGTTTATGCTTGTATGCGCACTGGAAGAAGAGACACTAAGGGGGACTGGGAGAGGTGAACTTAGCCCAGCTTTTATTTTGAAAAGCCTTAAAATAACAGAAAAGTTTTTCCTAAAGCATTTGAAATTATTTTCTAAGAATAAAGATATTTTTCCTATACAAGCACAGTATCTTTATTATACTAAGGAACTTTTTATTCCTTTGATTTTATAAGTGTATATCTTATCTAAATTGATCTGTTAAAAACAATTGTGGTTCCACCACAGATCTCTCCTGGCTGCATTTGTGAGTTTACCCCCAACTCATTCCTGGGCAGCGGGAGAAGCCTTGGGGAGCCATGGCTGGCCAAGGGGTTTGCAGCTGTCTTCTATGGGAGGATTCCATGCCCATAAAATGAGGGGTTATGTAAAACGATTTTTGAGACCCCTTTTAGTTCTGTGGTACAGTGATTCCGATTATAGAGTAGTAATATTTTTTAAAAATATGTTTTTATTTATTTTTTTGAGAGAGAGGAAAGGAGAGGGAAAGAGAGAAACATAGATATGAGAGAGAAATATCATTTGGTTACCTCCTGCACACACCCCTACCAGGGAACTGATCGAACCCAAAACCAGGGCATATGTCCTGACCAGGAATCAAACCGGCAACCTTTTGGTGCATAGTATGACACTCAACCAACTGAGCCATACCAGCCAAGGCCAGATGATGATGATGATGATTACTAGAGTGGGGTCCCTTGGCCTGGCCTGCGGGATCGGGCCGAAATTGGCTCTCCGACATCCCCCAAGGGGTCCCGGATTGCGAGAGGATGCAGGCCAGGCCGAGGGACCCCACGGGTGCACAATCAGGGCCAAGGAGGGACGTGGGAGGTTGGCCAGTTGGAGAGGGACCGCAGGAGAGCTCCAGGGTGTGTCCGGCCCGTATTGCTCAATCCCGGTCAGCCAGACCCCAGCAGCAAGCTAACCTACCTGTCGGAGCATCTGCCCACTGGTGGTCAGTGCACATCATAGCGAGCAGTTGAGCGGTCAGCATATCATTAGCATATTACGCTTTGATTGGTTGAACAGACAACTGGACACTTAGCATATTAGGCTTTTATTATATAGGATTATTATTATTAAATACTTTCATTGTTTTCAATTAGGATTGGTATAAGAAGTAGAATCATTCTCTTCTCAAAAAGTGGTCTCTTGATATATTATCATTGCTATAAATATCGTGTTGTAAAGCACAATGCTAATTTATCACTAAGTTGCCAGAACATTTCAGATTAAGCTGCTTATTATCCTTTTGGGGTGGGCTTTGTTTAGAGGCTATGGGTGACGGGGAAAGTGCACACGATTCTCCTCGAGATGAAGCACTGCAAAACATCTCAGCCGATGACCTCCCGGACTCCGCGAGCCAAGTGGCCCACCCTCAGGACTCAGCCTACTCTTACAGGTATTCCTCCTACAGGATTTAGGACTTCGGGGTTGGACTTTTCATCACCACTGCAGTCACCTCAGTCATGTGATTCATTGTGTCACTTAATAAAGGTATAAAGCAGAGAGATAAGAATGAAATGGCTATTTCCTGAGAAGACTTGGCTTCCTGAGTGGATGTCATATATCAGAGGCTTGAGTTCAGGGATAAAGGAAAACCTTGTGTGCTCACAGGCACCACATAAGCCATTACAGTGAAACAGGTGGCCGAGCCTCTGCCCATGTAAAGCTCCCAGCCCCGGTGAGAAATGCTGGGGAGGGTGAGGGCGGGGTGGGAGCTGGGTCAGCTGTCCCATAGGCCTGAGGAGCCCTCAGTTTGTCCTCCTCCTCACCCAGATTCCACAGTCACTGATACACGGCCAGTGTTGTTTCACATTTATTCCCCCCAATTAGTTTAAAGAAGACCCTAATACATCATTTTATTTATAAACATTATGAAGCTTTGTAATTTTTTCCCTACAGTAAAATTGGAGGGAGTGGCAGACCATTTTTATTTTTCAGCCATGACTTTACCATTATATATTTTATGAGACTGCAGAGTGGGTGAATGTTACAGATGATAGGCTTAGTCTGTAAGTTACTCATTTTATAGGAAGCAAGCCAATAGGGAAAGACTCAGAGCTGCCAGGTGAGTGGACAGTGGGGATCCTGCAGGAGGAGCAGATGTGGCCTGTTCGCTGAGGGGTTTCAGCTCCTTCCTTTGGATGGCAGCTTTGGACATTCTGAGGAAGCTCTGGTCGATGCCCTGTGAGACCAGAAAGGGCCACAGCCACCAGCAGATGAGAGCATGCTGGTGGCATCTCTCAGTGTGAACAGAGCTGCACTGCTGTGGAGGGCGACACCTTACTGCAGGGCGCTCTGCCCTTGGTGGTGGTCGGCGCCTCAGTAGTTGGAAGTTGAAAGGAGCAGCTTTTGGCTCCAGCAACAGAACAGTAAGAAAGGGCTTCCTGCCAGCTTATGAGCTGTCTAGTGGCCGGTCACCATTTGTCGAGAGCTGTAGTAGACAGCATGCTGAGTGTGAGGGGTGTCTCCCAGGTACGCCTTTCTGACTCTCCTAGTGCCTCCTCTCATAGCACATCTTGCCCACAACACTTACGTCCTTGCTCCTCGGGTCACTAGAAAGCCTGTTCCTTTAAGTGAGATGTCAGTAAGTTTAAAATCTTCTTTGATTATGACCACTTACAACATTTGATTCCTGAGATAGCATATTAACTTACATAGCAAATGTTCATAAAATGTGATCCTATCTGGATATAGAAATTAATGAATTTTCAACTCATTTTTTCAGAGATGCAAAAAAGAAACTGAGGCTTGCTCTTTGCTCTGCGGATTCAGTTGCTTTCCCAGTGCTAAGCCATTCAACAAGGAATGGCTTACCAGACCACACAGACCCAGAAGGTAAGTTTGCTATATGACCATTTATTTTTTCCTGTATTTGAAGGTTGAACCATATAAAATTGCCAGTATTCAACTGTATTTAAGCTTTATAGCAATTCCATATGGTTTAACTTAATAGATTTATGTTAGGATCAGTAAGGGCACTCGATTACTGCTGGTTCATTAAATGTTCAATGATTGAGCATGGCAGTTCAACTTAGTTCTACTGACACGTGCTAAAGCAGAATCGACATCCCAAAGGCTGAGGGATGACAGCCCCTTAGGTGAGCACGAGGATTTTCTCAGCAGTAACAGAATTCTTGTTTTTTTGTTCAGAGAATGAAATTGTATGCTTCTTAAAAGTTCAAATAGCCGAAGCAATTAATTTACAAGATAAGAACTTAATGGCTCAGCTGCAGGAAACAATGCGTTGTGTGTGCCGCTTTGATAACAGGACTTGCAGGAAGCTGCTGGCCTCTATCGCCGAGGACTACAGGTAACATGCAGCTTCACTTCAGACCTTGTTTCAGCAGCAAGTAGTATCTTCTCGCCCTTATCTTGGGGACGAATCTAGGCTTACGTGAAAGTGCTTGGCTCTGCTCACTGGACATAGATTCCTGAGGAACACATTTGGCTGTTAGTCTGAAATGTGGTGATGAATGAGCAGCTCTTCCACACAGAGAAGTGCCATCTGCTTCAGCATTGCACCAAGGAGCTTTAGCAGAGGTGGGGCCGGTGTAATGAGGGTATCACTTCCCCTTTGTAGGGTGAGAGGGAAGACTGCTTCCCTGGACCAGGGAGGCAGGAGCAGGCCCAGGAATTGCTCCCTTTGTCCCTGGGCAGCCCCTTGCTAACAGTTGAGGAGAAACACATAATTTAGACGCTTAGGAAGTGAAGTGGCTTTGAGGCTGAGGGCACAGGTGCTCTAAGATGGTCACATATAAACTGTATGTCAATAATTGGTGGCATGTTTAATGACCTAGTGGTATAGACCTGTATTTTGTTCTTATTTCAGTTTTCTCTAGCAATCAATTTCTTGTTAGGAGCGAGGCCCTACCAGTGTGGAGACTGTGCTCCGATATAAAATAGGCCAGCAGTGCGAGGGACTCAGCCGTGTTCAGTAGTTAGGTAGCTAAGTGCTCAGCCCAGGAGATGCTGTTCTTCACAGACATGCAGCTCTGTTCTCGAGCTGGAGGCATAATTCGTCTTCCAGACTGTTGTCTGCAGCCTGACATGCTAACGTGGAAAACCAAAACCTATGAAGTAATCTCTTTATTTTTTTAAAGAAGAATTAGGACTCTTAGTTTCCAAAGAGAGCGTGCACTGTATGTATCTAGCGTCCTACAAAGCCTGTTTCCTTTCAGGAAAAGGGCCCCCTACATTGCTTACCTCACCCGCTGTCGGCAAGGACTGCAGACCACGCAGGCTCACCTGGAAAGGCTGCTGCAGAGGGTGCTGCGGGACAAGGAGGTGGCCAACCGATACTTCACCACCGTCTGTGTGAGGTTGCTGCTTGAGAGCAAAGAAAAGAAGATCAGGGAGTTCATTCAAGGTAACTGGAGACGTTCAATTGAGCATCTCTTCGGCCACAGCATTGGGAAGATTTGGACATTTTTGTTTTGCTAGTTTGTTTGAATACCTACATGTCTAAGAGCATTTCCGTAAGTTCCCAGTCATTTTATGGGTTCTCAATAAGTAAAGTTTATTTTTATTGGTTTGAATATCTGTAGTTTATTTAAAAATGGATAAAATTGGTAAAGTTTTGGATCCACACAATTTTTCTCATTTTTTAAACCAAAGCATATAATTTTTATAACACACTCCTTATTCTTAAACTTTTATATCTTACCTTTCTCCCGACTTTAATGATTTGGCCACATATTCTCCTAAAATAAATCATGCCCAGACACTTTTGGCTTTAAGAGCATAGTATCTGCATAGCTGGTGATTAAAATTATTTCTACAATTTCCTTTTTAAAATTATTCAGATAGTGTATTTTTAAAATTATTATTTTGCATTGGAGACTTTCAGAAACTCACAGCAGCTGATGATAAAACTGCTCAGGTAGAAGACTTCCTGCAGTTCCTCTACGGTGCAATGGCCCAGGACGTCATCTGGCAAAATGCGAGCGAGGAGCAGCTTCAGGACGCGCAGCTGGCCATCGAGCGAAGCGTGATGAATCGCATTTTCAAGCTTGCTTTCTACCCCAATCAGGATGGGGACATACTCCGTGACCAGTGAGTGCTCTCTGTGTAGGGCCTGTGTTGGACCACGTGGGGAGACGTCAGCTAGCCCATACTTTAGCGGAGCTATACATAAGACCGGTATCTAATAGAGAAATGCATGTTGTTACCATTTCCCACCCGTCAGAATTACAGTTTTCAGGGATGTGGAGACTCGGGCTGAAGGGTGTACACATTGGTCTGGCCTTTCTGGAAGGCACTGCTGTTTGCCTGGATTTAGCATTTTTGTTTTTCCTCTTCTGCATTTTCTTTTTCTTTTTTTTTAGAATGGATCTCTTATCCATTTAAAAACATTTTTTTAATTGATTTCAGAGAGGAAAAGAGAGGAAGAGGTAGAAACATCAAAGATGAGAAAGAATCATTGATCAGAGCTGCCTCCTGCACATCCCCTACTGGGGATCAAGCCTGCAACCTGGGCATGTGCCCTGACCAGGAATGGAAGCGGGTCTCTTGGTTCATGGGCCTGTGCTAAAGCACCGAGCCTCCCCGCGGACCTCTCCTGCAGTCTCTTGAGCATTGCTTTACAACCCGTTTCTCCCTCAAGCGCGTTGAGGTGCCCACTGTGCTCCCTAGCTGTAGCAGTGACTTAATGCGCCAGGGACTCTCGAGGGTCCCTGTAATAGCATCTCAGGGTGGTCATAGGTGGTTTTTGTAAGTTTTTTTTTTCATGGACATTTTAAGATATTGCGTGTATATTTGGGAGCGTTCACTGTCCTCTGAATGGTTGGGATCGTCCCAGCCTGCCTCACTCGTTCATAGTCTCAGAGCTGTTAGCCCACCCGAGCCCCTGTCCTTAACACACCAGGTGGGACCTGTTTTCTCTCCAGAGCACCAGCCTTTGGCTTCCAGCGTGGGGTAAGGAGTAGGGACATTCAAACTGTGTTGGCTGCAGAGAGCACTTTGAAGCAGGGGGTGCCTGCCTTCTCCTCCCCGGCACCTCTGCAGGTGTTACAGAGGGAGCGCGCATGCCCTCTGGAAAGAACACTGGCAGCGGGGAAGCTGGTTTAATCAAAGCTTCGCCTGTTGAAGCTGAATTATTTTCCCTGTGAAATGAGAGCTTGTGTGTTGAGTCCCTTCCCCGTCTAAGCATCTTTGGCTTCTGGCTTTTGATCCTCTACCTCGTGACAGCCTGGTTGCTGATTAGTGTGTCAGACAGTCTGTGGGCTGAGCGCTCCTCTCCTCTCTTCCTTGAATGCTGTCTGGTCTGGGCAAGAAGGACTTCTGACTGCATCCCCTCGCTCACTCAGCATTTCCGAGCAGATCCTGTTCAAAATGTAACTTTTTAACAAGACAGAATACCTACAGCTAAGAGAGAGTCTCAACTGTAATTGTAATCTGTATCTAGAAATAAGTCTAAAACAGTTTAAATGTCTTAAAGAATCAGTTATGACTCAGTGTGCCTTATTTTCTGACATGTATTTACATATTTGTTTTGGGGGTTTCCAGGGTTCTTCATGAACATATCCAGAGATTGTCGAAAGTGGTGACTGCCAACCACAGAGCGCTTCAGATCCCGGAGGTAACGCAGGTTCATAGCACGGGAGGCGTTGGGAATTAGAGCTGCACTTTATACTGTGTGCATGTTGCCAGTGTTTCAAGGAAACAGAATGTAATAAAATATGTCACACCGTTTGCGTTAGAGGAACTTCATTCTAACTGAAGTTCTCAAAGATCCTCTGGGGATTAAAATTCCTGGTGAGGAAGGGACCTCGGTGGAGGAGAGGGCGAGCCAGGGCCCCCGGGCCGCAGAAACCGCTGCTCCGGGAGATTAGTTGTACCTGAATATGACGCCAACTTACCTTTTAGTTATTGATGATGGAGTTTTTACCTGCCATACAGCTCTTACAAAACAGGAATTTCAGGTATGCGAGCTTCCTGGTTGTTTCATTAAAATCTCCACTAATGGAGCATTGATTAGCATATAATTTTTAATTGTCTTTGATTTCTTGGAATCCTTTATTTCTAAAACTACTGCAGCAAAGACACGTTAATAAATTGCTTTCTTTTAAAGGTAGCTTGTTTGTGCTTTTAGAATCGGCTGCTCCAGTAGAGAAGCTCCAGCCTAGCTATTTAAGAAAGATGGGAATTTTATGAATTCTAGGTTCTGTGTTACTGTATGCCATTTCCTCCATTAGAGGATATCTAAGTTTTTTTACTTTAAAATGCAAAGCAAATTATTTAAAAATTAAGCTTAAATCTTCAGTGGACGGCGAAGGAACCGAGATCTTGTTTTACTGAAGAGGGGGAGAGGCAACACGTGCCCCCTGCCTCCGGACCGGCGGGTGCTGTGGTCGCTGTCTGTGCTCCCGGCAGATTAAAGCCCTGCCTGCCTGTCTGTGGTCTCGCTTAGGTTTATCTTCGGGAGGCGCCGTGGCCATCTGCGCAGTCGGAGATCAGAACCATCAGCGCTTACAAGACCCCGCGGGACAAGGTGCAGTGCATCCTGAGGATGTGCTCCACCATCATGAACCTGCTGAGCCTGGCCAACGAGGACTCTGTCCCCGGGGCGGACGACTTCGTCCCGGTGCTGGTGTTTGTGCTGATAAAGGTGGGCCCTCCCCGCTGGTCGTGAGAAGAGTTCATCTGGCATCGAGCAGGGTGGGCACACGTGTCCCAGGGTGTTAGACACATGGCTCTTCCCAGGCCTCGAGCTCTGTGTGTCCAGAAAGAAAATGTCTAAGGCCAGGTTTGTTCTGTCCAGAAGGCAGGGTTTTCAGGAGAAAGGGCGGCGGGGTCAGATTCCTAGAAGAGCGTTTTGAAGCAGGGCCCAAAGTCCTTGGTTGGGGCTCAGTGTATAACTTCGAGTGAAAGAAAAATTGTGCTTTTGCATCTTCTTTCACCCTGGTTCTTTGTAGTACTTGTCACATAAACTACTAAATTTGCCAATCAGATCTCTCTTCCTTTGGCCTCTTATTTTGTAATTGTACCGTATTATTTCAAAAAGCCCGACAGCCCCAGCTAGTTTGGCTCAGTGGATAGAGCATCAGCCTGTGGACTGAAGGGTCCCGGCTTTGATTCCAGTCAAGGACACATGCCTCAGTTGCAAGCTTGATCCCTGGCCGTGGTCAGGGTGTGTGTGGGAGGCAACCAATCGATGTGTCTCTCTCACATTGATGTTTCTGTCTCTCTCCCACTCTCTCTAAAAATCAATGGGAAAATATCCTCAAATGAGGATTAACAACAAAAAAACAACAAAAAACCCTGACATATTTTGTCCATTTTTGTCTTTAAAATAAAATTTCATCATCTAAACAATAACATTGAAAAGTTATTCTGAACATTTTGGGGGAACCATGCAGTTTGGGTGCATCACTTGTGTTTCCAGTCAGCTTAGCCCATCTGTTGATGTCTAAAGTATCGTTGACTCATATCTCATTAATTCTTAATGTTTGCAGTATTTCTGCAACCTCAACTCTGAGTCAGAACCCCAGGATCAGCGTGTGTAGCCTTCATAACTCCTCCCGTGGGCCGCTGCTCTTCTCTCTCCCACTGACATAAGCTTGCTTTAGGAACAGGCTGAGGCTTGTTTCCTAACCACTTACCACACCTGGGTCCTTTCTCGCCATGTGAAGGTGGAAAGCAGGTGTCCTGTGTCACCTCCTGCAGCACAGGGCGTGTTATCTTGTCGTGTTTTCTTTCTCAGCTGCTTCTACCTGCACTTACCACCCAGTTTGCCTCTAGCATTTACTTCCCACCAAACACGCTGGAAGCCTGGGATATTGAGTAGGTCCCCTGGGGTGGTTCAACCTCCTTAGGGACCAGTGGGGTTCAGTGACCTGCAAGCATAGAAAGCTCTAGACAGTTCAGCTTGGAATAGAACCCACTCGCCTCGGCAGTGGACTGTTGCTGCTCACAGTGGCTAGGCTTTACAAAATAGTTCCAAAAAGGGAATTCGGGGATTGTTTTCAGAAGGACTGGTGTCTCTTTCAGAGACAAACATTTGAGAATAGTAACTGAAAGATTCTTGCAGAGCTGTACATCTGACCAGTTGACTCTATTATTTCTCATTTCTCTAGGCAAACCCACCCTGTTTGCTGTCCACGGTCCAGTATATCAGTAGCTTCTATGCCAGCTGTCTGTCCGGAGAGGAGTCCTACTGGTGGATGCAGTTCACAGCAGCGGTGGAATTCATTAAAACTATCGATGACCGAAAGTGACCAGGACCCAGGCCACCCAGGCAGCAGACTGTTCGGCCGGCGAACCGGCCTCTAGGAAAATGTGCCAGCTGCTCTGCAGGCGGGAGCTTGTTTTGTATCATATTGTACAGCATTCAGACATTTTAAAACAGATCTTTACTAAACAGATTAATGCACTAACTAGCAGGTTCTCTTTCCTTTGGGCTCTTCCTTTCTGAACTGCATATTATCCTTTCTTGTCCCCAGGTAGAGAATAGTGCTGTAAAAAGGGACCACATTTTTCAGGTATTTGAAATACTAAACCTCCTAGAAACAAAGCAGAACCTCCTACAACGTTTTTAGATCTCCGTTCCTGGATACCCATTCTTTCCTTTTACTGAACAAAAAAGAGCAGTGCACCCCTTTCAGGATGCTGTGCGCCCCTGTAGGGGTCCATGGAGGGAATGGGCGCTGCCCTGAGGATTAAAGGTGACATCGTGGCATTATCTATAAATACACTCACCTAAATTGAAAGCTAAGAAGGAAATGTAAATATAATATATATTTATATTTGATGTAATATGGACATCTTCAGATTCTAATAAACAAGGAATATTGCTGATAGTAGATTGTGATGTACCCTCTTGTGAAATGGTTTCCTTGACAAAATTTAAGCTGAGCTTAAAATCAGAAAACAAAAAAGTATGCAGAAATATTTATTAAAGTGTAATACAGGTTATTGAACTTCCTAGGTGTGGGGCTTGATGCCAGGGCTGCCTTTGGTGAGAGGTATCCGTCATGAGTAAGTCGCCCAGACATTTCTCACTGCACATCTCTGAGCTCAGGAGGAGAGAGATCTCTAACCGCCATACACTCATCCCAAGGAGCCGCCGTATCTAACCCTTCATGTGGTACTTCTCCTCTGAAATACGGACCATACAGAACCCCCAGTGGAACTCCTCACCACCCGCTCGTCATATTTTTGATGATGATTCACATTGAATGCACAGACCAGGAATTCAGTGAATGTCATTTTTTAAAACAACTAATTTGTATTGTCTGCTCTAGTGATCCAAGTTTTATTAGTGATGAGCTATTTTAATCAACCATACAATTCTTACAGAAAAAATCTATTTTGGCTGGTTTCTGTGCCTTTATTCCCTCTTCTGAAGAAAAGTATGTGTTTCAAGATTTTGTTTTGATTGTATAATGATAATTAGTCAGGAGTTGGTTTTGGTGTCTGAGAAATTGGCCAAGGAGGCAACCAAAGCTTTAAGCACAAGCCTTGTACCCGGCCCCCACCGACTGGTTTCACTTCGTGTTTCTAATCACGTTTAGCTTCTGGTATAACAAACTCGGTCCTGTACCTTGAGCTCCTCGTCACTGACAGCGCTTCCAGGCGTTTTTAAGGGAACAGTGATGGACACCTGGAGCTGGTGAACACAGCTCGTCTTCTCCCTCCCTCCCTCCCTCCCAGATCTCCACGTCTCGTTGTGCCGAAGGAAGCTGGGTTTTCTTTATGCCTCCACCACTTCTCATTCATTTATTTTAAAACACCCAAGTAACAAGTTGCATAGGCATGTGGGAGGCGGTGTCTGCCTTTTGGGGAGCGGTCAGACTTAAACTAGTACTACAGTCCTTTGGAGTGTTCGGTCGTGTGCTTCCTGGGCTGTAAGGCTCAAACGTGCCCAGGAACGAGAAGTCAAATCCCGTCATAAATTCTTTACAAGACAGACTGTCAAACACGGTTTCTGAGACCTAGAGGGAGTCCGTTTTCTTCAGCATTTGATTCAATAAATGTTAAGTCAACAGAAAACTCGCAATAGTTGAACATCATTGTTACGGGATTTAACTCGGAAGTCAATGAGAGATTTTTTTCCCTCCGTGGCTGCTAGATCTGGTCCATGTTATCACCATGGAAATAAATACGAAGATGTGGACACTGTGCAGGGCTCTTTTCTGTGGAACAGAAGGTGTTGAGTTTGGGGTGCAGGGCTACCCTGAGGCAGGAGAGGGGGCTCTAAGGGCTTGCGCCAGGGGTGAGAGTAGAGCCCCAGAGATTGGCATCAGAGTTGCACCTCTGAGATGCAGGTGGGGACTGGCAGAGACACGCGGCCCAGCTGGTGAAGGGGCAGGAGAGTGCCTGCGGGCACCTTCCGGAGCAGGGACCCCTCCCCATCCCCGTCACTGGCTTGATTCACGACCAGGTTTCTCAGGGCTGACGTCTGAACTGGGGTTGGCAGCTACCTGCCTGGCGGGTGGGCGGGTGTGAGGCAGGGAATCACTTTGCTCTTTCAGGAAAGGGGCAGTTCTGTTCTTTGGATGTTTCTTACCACGCTGACCCCAGAGCTGCTTTTACACGAGGGTTAGTGCGAAAGTGCCAAGTCACCCCTCGAAACACTCAGTAGCCACACTATCCCCTGAATTTACAGAATACTGAATGTCAACCGAG